GATTTTGGTCATAAACCAAAAATAGAATTTAAATATTTAGCTAAAATATTGGTAGTGAAGGCATTGCCCTATCTGAACATTAATGACTTTGTAATAGGAACAGACCAGTGTGTGCAAAAAAAATTTTTTTGGTTGATTTGGAGAAGAGGTTGACAGCAGGACGGCTTTGGATCCTGAATGGGGTTGGGAGATATACATGAGGGTGATGAATTCCTATAAATCCTAGAATAGAGTAAGACAAATATCCCCACTTGGCTACTTTGGGCTAGGCTGGCTTTGTTTACCTTTACCTGTCTCAGGTCAAAGAAAAAACCTGCACTAAAGAATTTCTGTTCTTCAGGAGTAAGTCAGTCCAACACTTGTGATGATTTTTAATAGGCCTGTCTTGGTTATAAAAGTATATCTCTTTTTCCCCAGAGGATTTGTTAATCAAGGTAGATGGCAGGCATCAAGAATAAGCTCATTTTTTCAGGTGCCAGAAGAACGCACTAGTTAGGTGTGTAGGTCCTGGCCTTAGGCTGCCTGGCTCAAGTTTGGTTCTGCAACCTATGGGACCCTGGGCCACTTTGCCAGGCCTCATCCACCCCACGAACTAGCCACCATTATCATCCATATTTTATAGGTTAGAGGCTGATACACAGAAAGGTTATGTGTCTTGCACTTTATTACTTAATATCTAGCACAGAGTAAGCACACAACACAAGCTGGCTATTATGAAGAGAGTGTTTAGAGTCCAAAATTTGGAAGCCATAGAAGTCTCATTGAGGACACTTTCTAATGCTCTTGGGAGACAACTTCTGTATTACTTAGGAGTCAGACATTTTGAAGAGATGGATCTAACATTCTCTCTAGGGGAGCCCAGGAAAGGTTTGCACTTTGGTGTGGGCCCCATGCTCATGCACAATTTGCTGAAAGTTTGTTAACTCCATGTGGTGCTCTATACTAAACCAAGGATGGGGTTACCATCTCAAAGTTAATTATCTGGTGCCACTGCTAGAGAACTCTGCCTTGTTGATCTTTGATGTTTATTTGTAAGCGTGTGTGACCATTTGGTCGACAATCCTGTTTACTGGCTTCTGTAGGGCAAAGCCTGACACCTTTGATCTTTTTTGTTTCCAGGCCAACAGCAGAGCTAGTCCTTAGAGACTGTGGGTTGGGTTTTCCTCACTGCCAGTATTAATGCATCCCACAGAAGGGATGACATCCGGATTTTAATCAAGAAACCATTCTATTTTCTTTTACATGAAAACCTCCAAAATAATGCTGGAGGAGCCTTGTCTTTTTCCCTAGAATTTTAAGAAACAAAGGCCTGATTTATTTCAAGTGCTGCATGAAAACTATTTTATTATTATTTTTTAAAAGAAAATAAAACAGCTTCAGAACAAACATTTGAATGGTGCTTAGGACAAGACTTAATCAATGGAGAATTTGTTTCATATATAAAGATAATTGTGAATTTCTCTCAACATGGGATAATTGCTGTTTTAAATTTATTCCATCAAAGTGTAATTCATATTAATATTATCAATTTTTCACCTTCTCTAAAATATTTTATTTGCATTCTACTGTGCTGGTTTGTGGCCAAATGCCAAATTTTATGGGGGATAAAAAACAATTCAAGTACATATCTAATCATTTAAAAGAAAAAAAAATGTAGACTCAAGAAGGGAAGGCCATATAAAGTACATAAACAAATCATATTTTAAGCAAGGATGATGTGTTCATTCAACATCAAATTTGCATTCTCGTCCCTTTGGTTTCCCTATTTGTGTCAATTTGTTAAGGCTACAATTTGCTTACATTCTGGTATTTTATGGGAGGAATCTGATATGAAAGTTGGTTAGTGAGACATTGCCCTGTAAACAAGCAAAATCTTGCTCAATATAGTCTAAATGGTAGGCAACTGTTCGTTTAAAAGCTACAGTGAGATTGAGAATTTCTTTGATGATATTCTAATCCATGACAGGAAATGGAAGCATATGATGGTGTCACTATAATGTGATCAAACCAAATTTATGTCATGTATATGGTGTGTATGTTTGTATACACAGTAACTTGTTCTCTTCTTTAATGTTTGTTCTGTTGTGTCCTATTTTACTCTCACTGATGAATGCACAGTGACTTTTCTTCCTAAGTTAGCCCCTCCCTCCCTTCAGTATAGGTGCTAGGGAAACTATGATGCGGGCTCAGGTGTGCCTGGCCGGAGGCAACCCCAGCTAACTCTGCAGTATTTAATATCAGCACCATTTCCATTAGGGGATAGGAAGTCTAAACCAGCAGTTCTCAAAGTATGGCCCTGGGACCAGCAGCACCAGCATTTCCTGGAATGTAGTAGATACACAAATTCTCAGGCTTTGACCCAGACCTACTGGATCAGAAACTTGGGCCAAGGTCCAGCACTCTGGGTTTTAACGAGCCTCCAGGTGGTTCTGATGCTCACTTAAGTTTGAGAGACATTCGTCTTAACTTGCGCTTGCTGCCCCGAATCTGGTCTGGGTGGGTTAACTTCCTTGGTTCCCACATACCTGTGAACTTTAGTTTTCCTTCTTTATCTTCCTCATGAATGAGTCTCTGGTCTCTCTGACTGTGTTTCTGCCTTGACTTCAGATTTATACTCTAGTTCCCAGCTGAGATGATCACCTTGCCGGCTAGACTGGAACCCTGTCAGCTCCATTCCCTAAACACATCACACTCCTGCTTTTACCCATCTCCTCTCCTGGCTGGTGGCCAACTCTGGCACTGATTCAGTTGGGCCATTTGGAGACAATTTCCACTGGGACATCTCTATGATTTGGCAGCCCCATGCTGTGACCCCTACCCACAAGGCCATAATAACACTGGTCTAGACTGACCTTCAGTCACCTTACCTCTGGACGCTGCAGACATGACTATCCCTCCTTTTAGGTCCTGTCTCATAACTGGATAATTGTCCTAGCCTGTTTAAAGTCCTATTGTTATACTCGCCTCTCCTCGTTGAATGGATATTTTAAAAATTGCATAAGTTATGACACCTATTTGAAGTCAATGGATACTTTTGGAAAATACTACAGAAGAGTTAGGTAAACACTTTAGGATAAAACGTGTTATCTGGTGAAACTTCAGGGTGAAACAAAGAAACAGCAGAAAACAAGTTATGTTTTATTCCTTTAAGAAAATGTAGGCCAGGCTCAGTGGCTCAGCCTATAATCCCAGCACCTTGGGAGGTGGAGGCAAGTGGATCGCCTGAGCCCATGGGTTCGAGACCGGCCTGGGCAACTTGGCAAGACCTCAGCTCTATGATAAATCAAAAATTAGCTGGGCATGGTAATGCACTCCTGTAGTTCCAGTAACTTGGAAGGCTGAGGCGGAAGGATCGCCTGAGGCCTGCAGGTCGATGTTGGGGTGGCCGTGAGTATGCCACTGCACTCCATCCTAGGTGACAGAGTGAGACTCCAACTCAAAAAAAAAAAAAAAAAAGAAAGAAAACATTGACAGTACTACTTTATGTTCTGAATATTCTAATTTACCTGGTAGGGTATTCAATACTTTTGCGGTGATTGGCATCCTCTAACTTACTTTCCAAGCCCTAATTTTTCCATGCAAGGATCCACCTACTGAATTTTATTTCTCAGAAACCTGAACACAACACTATCTTGCTAACAGTTCACAGGGGACCCACTGCTATATAGTTTAATGTGGTATGTGTACTCATCCATAGGTAACCACCACTGTGAAAGAAATTGCAAGTCACATTTATATGCTTAGAAAGTAATTCAACAAGCATTTCAAAACACCCTCTATTCACCTTTAGTCAAAGCCTTTTTATGTGTTTAGCAATATACACAGTACTTCAAGAAGTCCTTTTATTCTTGAACTTGGTTTAATGCATAGCCACTTGGCCTGGTTTAAGCATAAACTTTCTCATACTAAGCTTGTGAGAACTGCTTCTGCTTCTTTTTTGTCCAATGAATAGAAAATCATTAGTAAATGCTTAACAAAAGCATTCACCTTTGTGGTTATATTTATTTAATTTTTCATGAATTACTTATTCATTCTTATTATGTACCAGGCACTATAGAAGGTGCTGGAATAACAGAGTCCTTGTCTCTAAAAATCTTCTTGGAAGTCCTTTCCCAGTCAGATAGATCTTTTTCTATCAGATGCAGTAGGCATGAATTTGTCTTACAGAGAATGGGCAGGGACCTGGAAGGGACTGCATAATCATTAGCATGTATGGATTTGAGAAACAAAATGTGATTTGCCTAAAGCATTGTTGTTACCTTCTGGGATGTGAAAATGAGAACCTGGGTCATTTAAATAAAGACAGCAACAATTAAATAAAGACAGCAACATCTAAAAATAGATTTTCACAATTGGTAACAGCTATCCATTTTTGTCAAATCGTCTACTACTTCCATACTTCAGGTTTATAGCAATCATCCTCCAGCTTATTGGAGGGTCCCTGACTGAACCCTTGACCCCATTTTCCTGTAAGAAAGTATTTAACCTGTGTCTATAGCGTCCCTCTGGCTAAGTGTATGGCTCACTAGCCAAATATGTATAAGCATTCCTTAAGTCTCTGTTTCAGATATAAGTGCTATGGGGAATAAAAACAACACAGATTCACTGTCACTTTGGTATGACAGCCTTTTCTGTATCAATCCTACTGGATTGTGAGTATATTGAGAACAAGACCTGTGTCATATTTACTTTTGTAAACCCTATAGTAAAACACATTGCACTGAATAAATATTGTTGAATGCAAGAATTGATAGATGAACAGATACATTTCTAGGATGGTTTATAAATAGACATCACCCTAGGATTTCTAAGACTCTTGGCAAAGTCAGTTCAGTTGGTGCTAGGTCATATCATTTCTCCTTGTGAGTGAAGGTCAACTGAACTCCAGAGAAAGTTAGGTACAGATCTGCCATTGTACTATTGACCAAGTCAGCAATACTAGACATTGAGCGCACAACCATGCTTCACAATGATTTCCTTTGCTAAAGAGTGACACTCACCTGATCTGAAGCCAGGTCAGCATGGGGGTCGTTCCCCCTCCAAACACCCAGACAGTGAAAAACACGAGGAGCAGTGTGGTGGTAAACATCATTTGTTTGGGCTGAGATTCTGTGTTCCGAATAGCTAAGGCAAAGGCGATCGCTCCTCGCAAACCTTGCAGGAGAAACCAAAAGAGAAAATAAACATCTGGTAGGTCTCATTCTCATTCCAATGGATTTATCTTCACAACCGATTAACACAGTTTTTAAAATGAATCTTTTTGTTTTGAGAGAATTGTAGATTCATATGGAATTGTAAGAAATACAAAAAAATACCGTGTACTCTTTCCCCGGTTTCCCCCAAGGATAACTTCATGCAAGACTGTAGCACAGTATCTCAACCAGAATGTTGACATTGATATAGTCAAGAAAAGGCAAAATCAATAAATTAGGTTTTATCCAAAGTAAAAACTTTTGCTCTGCAAAAAACTCTTCTAAGAGGATGAAAAGACAAGCTGCAGAGTGGGAATACATATTTGCAAACCATATATCCGAAAAAGAACCATTTTATAGAATATACAAAGAACTCTCAAAACTCAACAATCAAAAAATTTGACAATCAAATTCGAAAATGGGAAAAAGACATGAAGCGCCTCTCCCTCACACTCACTCCTTAACTCTTGGCCACCATTTCTATGATTTTTGTCATTTCAAGACTGTTATAAAAATAGAATCATGCATTCTTTGACCTTTTGAAATTGCCTCTTTTTACCCATCATAATTCTGCAGATATTCACTCAGGTTGCTGAATGTACTAGTAGTTTGTTCCTTTTTATTGTTGTGTAGTATTCCAGAGTATGGATGTTCCTCAGTTTGTTTAACCACCCGGTTTGTTGAAGGTCATTAGAGTTGTTTCCAATTTTTGGCAATTACAAATAAGGCTGCTAAAATTTGCATACAGGATTTTGTGTGACTATAGGTTTCATTTCCCTAAGATAAATGCCCAGAAGTGCAGTCACTGGGTAGTATAATATTTGCATGTGTAGGTTTTTAAGAAATTACCAAACTGCTTTCCAGAGTGGCTATAACATTTTACATTCCCACCAGCAATATATGTCATCCAGTTTCTCTGAATCTTTGCCAGATTTGATATAACTATTTTTTAATTTTAGTCATCCTGATAGGTATGCAGTGACAGTATATTGTGGTTTTAATGTGTATTTTTCTAATGGTTAATGATGTTGAACATTTAAAAAAATCTGTTTATTTGTTATCTGTACTCCCTCTGGATGAAATGGCCCTTCATGTCTTTTTCCCATTTTCGAATTGGATTGTTACATTTTTTGATTGTTGAGTTTTGAGAGTTCTTTATATATTCTACAAAATAGTTCTTTGTTGGATATATGGTTTGCAAATATGTATTCCCACTCTGCAGTTTGTCTTTTCATCCTCTTAGAAGAGTTTTTTTTCTGAGCAAAAGTTTTTACTTTGGATAAAATCTAATTTATTGATTTTGCCTTTTATGAATTGTGCTTTTGGAGTCAAGTCTAAGAACTCTTTGCTTAGCCCTAGGTCCCAAAGGTATTTCTCTTTTTTATCATAAAAGTTTTATAGTTATACATTTAAGTCCAAGATTACTTTGAGTTACTTTTTGTATAAGATGAGCAGTTTAGATGGAGTTTCATTTTTTTTCACCTTTGGATGTTTAATTGCCCCATTGAACTGCTTTTGGACCTTTGTCAAAAATCAACTGGGTATATTTATGTGGGTCTATTCTTGAATTCTCTATTTTGTTCTATTGTTCTGTGTGTCTGTCCTTCTTCTAATAGCACACTGTCGTGATTATTGTAGTATCTAGTAAGACTTAACATTGGAATGAGTCTTCCCAATTTATATTTTGTTTTCAAATTCCTTTAGCTATTCTAGCTCTTTTGCATTTCCATAATATTTTAGAATAGTATTGTCTATACAAAAAATATTTCTGGAAAAAACTAATTTCTAAAAATCAAATGTGTCAGACAACAAAGAAAGCTAAGTTTATGGACCACTTAAAATTAAAAAATAACTAAATGATATTTAAAAATTACTCCAGACTGAGTACATACTTTCACAAAGTCCATAATCGAATGTATTAAAACCTGCTTTTTCTTGTTTTCCTTTTTTTCTTTAATAATAATATGCTAATTGAATTTTATGAATCCATATTAAATATGTTTGCAAGAGGTATTAAAAATTAAATACTAGAACTTCAAATCAAAGTGTGATGAGACCAATAAAAATAGAAAGGTAGACTTTGAAGAAGAATAAATAAAAGCGCAATAAAGGAAAGGAGGTAGAATGGAGGGTCTCTCTTGATTAACACATGACTTGTAAGACATTTATGGTCCTTGTTGTATTGTGTAACCAGACAAATAAAGATTTATAATGACAGCTAGTGTAAATCCAGGAGGCAGTGATTTAGTTATTTTTATCGAAAGGTTTAAATCACATCCATAAAATTTCAGTGATCCACTTTTTATGAAATTTACTGTCACATCTAGGTTTCTAAATTTCCAAATCTTTATTCACACATTAAAGGAATTTTAAAAATTGGATATAGGGTAGGATGAGAAAAACTATAACCATTCTGTTTTTTTCCCCTAGGTTCCCAACTTAGAATATAATGCTTCTTTCTTATCTCCATGCTAAGATTATTCAAGAGACAAGTGGAATAACATAAGATCCAGAGGATTAGACTTGAGAGACTTAATACATTTTGCCTGAAACAAGGAAACCTCAGAGAGAGAGGGGAACATGTACTCTGATTATAAAACACCTTCAAGGAACAAAATGTAATGGAAGAGGGAAATAATTCTAAATCTCCATGTAGACATGGAAATGGCCTGAAGATAAGGAAGATAACATTAATAAAAAAAAAAGTTCCTATACATCAGAAATTCTGAACACTTGAGATGACTCTGCTTAAGAAGTGAAGTGCCCCCACCAGAGATGCTCATGCATTCAGACCCAGCTGGCGACAAGACAATGGGATACTAATAACCTTCAATACTGGCCACTATTTTAATAATGTTCTCATCAGGAAATACAGATGGTATCATTAGGGAATAAGGACTCAAGGAAATAGCCTTACAATAGACTTCTGTATTTGAGAAGAGAATGTATAGGTCAAGGTAAAGCTCCTAGCAGTGTTTAATCATAGGACAAGATTGGAGATAGAAGGTAATCTTCATTTTCTCTTTCCCTCAAGCTCACTTTAATAGAAACATCCATAAAATAGCATTGCACCAACTTAGGTGATATTAGAAATATTAGAAAAAATGAACAAGTATGTGTTTTTCTTGTTATAAATATTCATAGTTTTTTTTTTACTGTGTTTTTGTGAGAAAGAATAGAAACCAGAATAAAAATTAAAACTTGCTATTCCATGCTTACTGTAAACTCTTTCATGCTGGATATCAAGGGCAAGGAAGTAAGCAATCATTAATCTTCTAAATATGTTTAATAATGTATTGTTACTATGTTAAACTACTGTAACTATGCTCTTAAATCTAAATTATCTATACACGAGCAGTTCTTTGTTTAAAAATATACTTAAAATATATCTGTTATCCTGACTTCTAAAAATAAATATCCTATATTTAAAACTCCCTATATTTAGAGGCAGTGCAATATAGAGATCTCTGAAAGAAATGGAAAAGTACAGCCACCATCTGTGGCAGGTTGAGAAACATTGCTAATTAGGATTCAATTCCAAGATGTTGACAAGAGGATGCCTTTTCAATGTGACAACCACCTGAAAACACACAGATACAGGCTATTTTTTGAGAAGGGGTCATCTGTCCGTAGCTCTGGTCACATGTGGCACATATGGCATTGGCAGTGCTGGAAGCATGGGGCTAAGAATGGCAAGTTTGCTGAGTGGACAAAGTGAAGCTAATTTAGAACCCCAGATAAGAACTACTGCCTGTGTCCTACTCATCCTTTATGATTCTGGACTTCCTCATCACATATTTGGAGTCTAGACAAATGTCAAGCCAACGGCCATCTGTTGCTTCATTTAATACATATGTATTGATTACGTCCTACATGGAGGCTCTGTACACTGATCCTGTCTTCTTAAAACCATGGTTTTGGGCGATAGAGGATTTTAGGATTGAACAAATTACTTAGGCTACCAGCAAAATAGTAAAAATGAAAAATTAATATTGACTTAGTATTTTCTTTTTGGCAAAACATTATTTCCAAAGAATACATGCCATTTCTCTTAGAAACACAGGAAATCCAGAACTCATCAAAACTTGTGTTTTGTATTTTATGGGTACTTTGACTCTTTGGATTTGCCTTTCATATTCTCTTTGTTTTGGCCAACTTATTGAGAAAATTCTATACTTTGGGGGTTGATAGACTATACGATTTCATTTTCAATGGGTTTACTTTGCAGAGATTTCAACATATTTCATAAACCCAGTTGGAAAGGTAGCATCATCTCAGGGAGTAAAGGAATTACCTGCAATTAAATGTGGTTTCATTTAAAATCAACCTTTGGGTGATTCTCATGTTAATTATGTTGATATTCTATTCATAACAATAGAAGACTATTGAACCAAGGAAAGTTTTCTAGCAAGGACCCCTGCTGCAGAAAATGTGCAGTTTCCTGTTTATCTTTAAAGAGCAAAAGTAAAGCTTAAAATCATTTATAAATTTGCAAGTGTCTCCTGAATGGATGGAGGTCAGATACAGCTACATTTAAATCACAGGAAAATAAGTACCTCTTAGGGCATCTTTATGTAAGGTGCAAAGCAATGAACTATAAACATTACTTGAGCGCTCACTATGTGCAAAGCATTGTCCAAGACACACTGTGGAAAGGCAATGATGACAAAGTTTGGCTCCTCAGTTCCAGGGCTCATAGTCCCACAAACATGACTTTCTTAAAAGGGAGCTGTGATAAGGTGTATTATAAGTGCAAAAAAAAGGGATACTTTGGAAATTTAGCTTGATGAAGAAAAAGGTAAGATTTCTATACCTCATGAGGGACCAAATCGTGAACATGGTTAACCGATGTGCAGAGTTTAAGGCACTGAAATAAATGGGGAGGTAAAAGATGTCTTTCCATACATGGTTTTCCATGCCTGGAAAAAAATCTATCTTTCCCTCATTCAAACTTCTCCACTT